GAGAGCAAGTGAATTTCCCAAAGCCAACAGCAAGCCCTCTCATTGCTGCTCTACCAAACCGAAATGATTTCAGTTCTCATGAAACCTAAGGCCTGACTAAGGAAGATTAAGAAACCTGGTGGTGGTCATGCCCACTTAGTTTGTCTTGGCTGTGTGGTCTTGGGTAAGTCATTTCTCTCTCTAACCTATTCCCCGCCGCACTCCATAATATGGGGAATAGCACCTTCTCCTGTTCCCCTAGGTCTACTTTCTGCCTGGCTAAGGTTTTACTTTAAGATCCGGTGGTAGATCTTGGTCTGTCAATTGGTCCTAGAGTGGAGTGCTTTATGAAGTCACTGGTCCGTGCGTTAGGTCAGGGACTTAATACCATGACATCATGAAAGAGGTCTGTAGACCCTTTCTCTCCTCGTTGCTAACAAAGATTTTGTGGACTGTGTTTCAGATGGACAGAAAATATGTTCTAGAGCATTCTAAGATCACCTGGGGCTTTTGTTAAAATGCAGATTCTGGTTCCACAAGTCTGGGTGGGGCCTGAGGCTCTGCATTTCTGGTGATGCTGATGTCGCTGGTCCAGGGATCACATTTTCAGTTGTAAGATTTGAAATCAATCTATTATTCATATAGAATCAATACTTATGAGATAAGAGCCTAGTCCCTTGTTTCAGGGCTAAAGAGCCAGTCACAGTAACAGGGTCTAGTCTGGAGCCCAGATCTTGTAATGTCTTGTCTTCGATATCTGGCTTATCTATTTTATCTGCAGCTATGAGTTTCTAGAATCTGAACAGCCCTTGAAATACTTTGCTGCTTGGCCGGGCGCGGTGGCTCACGCTCGTAATCCCAGCACTTTGGGAGGCCGAGGTGGGTGGATCACGAGGTCAGGAGATCGAGACCATCCTGGCTAACACGGTGAAACCCCGTCTCTACCGAAAACACAAAAAATTAGCCAGGCGTGGTGGCGGCGCCTGTAATCCCAGCTACTCGGGAGGCTGAGGCAGGAGAATGCCGTGAACCCGGGAGGCAGAGCTTGCAGTAAGCGGAAATGGCGCCACTGCACTCCAGCCGGGGCGACAGAGCGAGACTCCATCTCAAAAAAATACTTTGCTGCTTAATTATGGAGCAAAGTAGGGTCCTTCTTTAGGAGAGAGAGTGACTCAGTGGAAAGCCATTGGAAGGGGAGAAATACAGCTAGCATTTGATCAACCTTTTCACCAGAAGTTTTTGTATTTGTGATTATAAACATTATTCTCTTTGTATTTATGGATGCAAACTACAGCCCTGGGGAGGCCCCAGTCTGTTTTTGTATGCCTCTAAACTAAGAATGGTTTTATAGTTTTAAAGTGCTGTTAAAAAACAACAATAACGAACAAACAAGGAAAAATATGCAACAGAGAGGGTGTGTAGCCTATGAAGCCTAAAATATTTACGGTCTGGCCTTTTACAGAAAAACTTTGCTGGCCCATGAGCTAGAGTACCTGAAGATTTGCACGTTTTTTGTTTGTTTGTTTGTTTTTCTAGTGAGCAAGAGGCCTAGCCTTACAGCTTTGAAATATAGTGAGGTTAAGACGTAGGGGAGGCAGCCTGCATTGGTGGGAACTGCCCAGACATCTTAGCTGTGTGACCCTGAGCACATTACTTCACCTCTCTGAGCTCGTGTCCTAGCTTTGCAAAATGAGGACAAAGATTGCTGCCTGGTAGAGTTATTGCGACAATGAGACATGATGCCTGCAGAGTTTAACACTTGGAAGATGCACAGAAAATGATAACTATGGTTATTAAGGGTGGCCATTCGAACCCTTATGGCATTAATGGACAGATATCATGTTACTCCCATCAGGTCTGAAGGCCCTTCCAATGAACTGGGAGCAGTCCTTTAGGAGAGAAAAATGCTCTGCTCCAGCCTCCCCTGATCCCACCTCCAGAGCGGAAAGCTCCTTTTTAGCCACGTAGACAGACAGGGTTCCGTGGTAGCTTGCACACTTTCACCAGGCGAGCTCTCTCCCCAAAGGCTGGCCTTTCCACTGCTGAGACTATTGGAAGGCATCTTCTGTTCCTATGCCCTAAGATATGATTCAGCAAACAGGCACGTAGTGAGAGCCCTGGGCTGGGATTGTGAGTGCTGGAACGCAACCCTTCTCTTTATGGCTCCATCTGGAGTGTGTGGGCGGTGGACTAGAGTCAGTGCTTTTGCCGACTTTGTTTTTAAACTGTTGCAGCCTTAAGGTCCAAAATGGAAAACAGACCAACTTGGAGTTAGCTGAGGCTAATTCTAAACCCTGCTGAGTCTGAGAGCTTGGAGGCTCCTGGGGTGTGTCTGAATCTCAGGAAGGGTGTAGTGCTTTTCTTGCCCGTAGATGGCAGCATCTGCACTCTTAGCCGGCTCTACGAATGTGTGTGTGCATGTGCACGTATGTTACACACGTGTGCACGCATGGGAGTCATAGTTTCTTACTTTGGTAAATCTTGAGCTGCGGTGGTCCCAGCCCTAGGCCAGGATCTGGGATACACGGGAGCAACTGGGGAGGCTGACTTGCAAATAGACTGTAGAGTGTGACTGGGAAGACTAGTGGGTATGGAGGTCTGTGCGGAAACTACATGGAGGACTCAGGAACAGAGTGCCGTTGCATCTGGCTGGAGCCTGGTGGGGTATAGTGGAAGACAGGAAGCCATGAGGGCTGAGGCTGAAGGAGTTGAAGGGGACAGGTCATGAAGAATGTGGAGAGGTTTGTTAAGGATCTTGGACTTTATCTGGGGCCACAGTGGAGCCATGGTAGAGTCTGGGCAGAGGAGTGGCATGGTCTGGGCTTGCTCTGAGGAGGATGCATTGTAGGAGGGAGAGGATGCAGGAGGATCAGTTAGGAAGGTTCTGCAGTCATGCAGGCGAGAGGTGATGGGGTTATGGACCAAGATGTTGGCGTTGAGGTGGAGAGAAGGGGTGACACTCTGGAGGCAGTCAGGGGTTGAACTAGCAAGACATGGTGATACATTGGAGGGGAGAGTGACAGAGCAAAGGGGTGAGGTGGTGTGTTGAGGAGGGTGAGAGCCTGGCGTCTGGACTGGTCCACTGGGTGGATGGTGGATGGTGGATGGTAGTGCTGTTTGCTGAGGTGAGGTGCAGTTGGGAAGGAGCAGGTTGCACTTGGGAACAAATGCAGCACTGCAATATGCATCTGAGGATGAGAGTGCAATTTGGGGTGTGTAGAAAGAAGTGGAGCTGGATTCGAAAGGCTCATCCTCACACAGAGTTGACATAGTGCGGGAGGTCATTAGTTATTTGCGGGAACAACAAAACCCAACTCTGCTTTGGCCCGTCCCTTGGAACCAGGAAGTTTCTGCCATAGTCTTTGAGAGAGGCCCACAGAAGTGGGCACCAGCTCCTGCAGCCCAGATAAGTGTCTGCCTCTGATGTCTCTGGTTTTGGGTACCGTGACTCCACTTCCGTGGCTGTATCCCGTGTCAGTCACAATGCACAAGTCATCAAGACTGTCTGGATCATTTACTGTCGGCCTGAGAACAGGGCTTGTTTGTGTCTTAATCCCAGGAGCCTGCGTGGCCCTGCCACCTTCGGGATCTTGGACCTTCCCCTCGGCTTGGGGAAGCTAGTTTAGGCAGAGAAATTTTCCAGTGTGGGCAGGAGCCAGTTTGCTCAGCTTTCCTCTGAATGTAGCTGACTGGAATTCTTAGTGGCGAGGAAGGGTGAAGATCCAAGTTGTCCCTGAGAGGTGGGGGGACTGAGCTGCATACTCCACGATGAGCTGATGTGGGGTGGTCCTTCATCCACTCATCTAGCATATGTCCACTGGCCCTGCCATTTGCTGGGCACATGCCATGCTGAAGCTTCAGAGGTGAAGCAGACAGAATCCTTGCCTCTGAGGAGCTGACAGCCTGGAGGGAGAGAAAGTCCTGTCACCAGACATTGATAATGTAGTCTTGCTCAGCTGTAGTGCATTAGAATAGTAATAGAGTGATGCTGAGGGACAGAGCTGCGAATATGACAAATCAACAGGGTGGGTCCCCAAACCGCACATGTGCAGGATGAGAAAGATATAATTTGCAGGCAAAAGACTTAGAAATTTAGTTATTAATAATCAGGGTAATAATTAGAGTAAACATATGCCTTGTGCAAAACCCTGAACATGTTTGATCTCATTGTAGGTTCTAATATTATCCCTCTTGAACAGAGAAGGCGACTGAGACTCGGAGAAGTGATGTAGCTTGCTCAACTTACACAGTTAAGTCAGGGCCCAGTTTATATAACTCCAGAGTCCTAAAGTACAACTCTGAGGTTGACTGTAAACTGAATTCAGCCATGCAATAGGACTACCTTAAATGTGAATGGGATTTTAGGCTCAATTAATAGAAGCATGATATCTGTAATGAAGGAGGTGAGAGTCCTGCTCGCCCTGCCCTGGGTAGAGCTTGTCTGATTGTCTAATTCTGAGTCTTGTCCTGTCAGTAGGGACAGAGTTCATCTGGAGCAGATCAGGGAACAGGGTGAGCGAACCAGAAACCCTGGTCTCAGGAAGAGCTGGAGGAAAGGGGGTGCACACTTTGTAGAAGACTTGAGGGGCCCAGGATCACTATCTTCAAATCTCCAAAGAGCCATCAGGAAAGAGGGGGACAGACCTGTTCTGGCTGACCCAGAAGGAGGCAGAGCTAGTACCAGCAGGTACAAGGCATAAGAAGAGAGAGATTTTAGTGCGTCCTTAGGAAAATTCTTTCACCCAGCCAAACCCTCCAGCAGCAGGTCTTGCAGCCTTGGCAGGTAGTGAGTGCCCTGTTGCCGGATGTGTGCAAGTACTGATTGTGTGACCCCTGGTGGAGGGGAGGAAAGGAGTTGAAACATCAAATGGGGATTTGACCAGATAACCTTGAACTCCCCCTGAGGCTGACATTCTTGTGCCCTTTTTTTACAGGTGGTGCTCGTAGCTCTTTGTCCAGTGCTTCGGCCTTGGTCCGGGTGCCTTCCCACAGAGCAGCACTCTTCACCCTGCATAGCCCTGTTAGGTAGGTAGAGCAATGCAGATACCTGTCCTCCTGTTAAACCCCGCCCTGGCTGCCCAGGGAAGCCTGGAGGGGACTTCAGTGGTGGAAGCAGCCACTGTAGCCGCAGTGGATTCAGTGGGAGTCCCTGAGGTCTTTCCAATAAGGCTCAGAGTGCGTCTCTGCTCCTTTCCTGCCCTTGAGAGGGAGGTCAGGCGAGAGTGATCTTGTGGGGAGGAGGCAGGGACTGGGCTCAGTGCCCGGATGCCTGGCTCCCACCCTGGCTGTGCTGCCTGCTTGCTGTGTGACTTTAGGAGAGTGGCTTTCCCTCTCAAGGCCTTGGTGGCTCTTCTGTAGAAGAGTAGAGTCCCCATAAAGAGGAGGTGCAGGAATTCTTCCCAGAGACTTTAGAGAGGTGAGAAAAATGGGGGTCCATTTGCCAAGTCTCCAGACTTGTTGACCAGAGGAGGAGCACCCGAGGCGTGTGAGTCATGGGGAAGTCGGATGAGTCATGCCCACTGGGGCCAGCTGGCAGGGTGGGGCCCACCTGACTATCAGATTCACAGGTGACCTGCTGAAGTAGGCGGGGAGGTGGGGGGAGGAGTGCAGAGTCCTGGGCTGGAAGCCAGGAGACTGGCTCACCTCCCAGCTGCAGCCTCGGTTTTTCTATCTGTAAGACGGGTGCCTTGGTCTCCCCCACCCACCTAACAAAGCTGCTCTGTGGACCCAGTGAGCTCGTAGATGCCAAAGGGCTTTGTGACCAGTGAGACAGGAAGGATCACTACTAGGGGGAATCGCCCAGCTTCCAACACCCAAACAAAAGTGAATTTCTAATTAGCAATTGTGCAAGAACCCAGGAAAACACCTCTCCAGCCCACACCATCCCTTTTCTGTCAAAAGGAGAAGGGGATGAATGCACACAGGACTTACACGTCTGCTGTGTCCCAGCTGGCTTCCAGATGATGACACGAGCCGCCCACAGCCGGAGCGGTTCCTCATTCCCAAAGCTCAGGTGAAAGGGCTTTTTGATGGTCCCCAGGATGTTGTACCCCAAAAGCCAGGGATTCCCGAAAGGCCTGCTGGGCCCAGAAAGGTGACTCGCCCCATCAGCTGCTACCCAAAGGTTTTGGTGACAAAGAGGTGGCCCTAGTGCTGCCCTAATAGGAGGAATTGAGGGCCGAGTCTTGGCTCTGATGCGCCTGCCTTTGAGACTGAGCCCTGACAACTCCAAAAGCCAAGTTACCTCAAAGTGATCTGTCAACAAAAAGAATATTATGCCCTGTTGATGCTTTTGGTAACTGTGACACAGGGGCCCTGTCTTCCATAGACCCTGCAGGGCCAGGCTGGCATAGGCCCAGCTGAGCACCCATCACCTGAGAGCTTTGCTTATTCACCCCCCTTTACTCCTCTGCCCCCTGCAATGTACCAGCCCTGTGCCCACCTCCACGGAACCTTGGTTCAATCACGGAGGCCCCAGTGACCTCCTCAATGTCCAATCTAGTGCTTTCCTCAGGATTCCATGTACCAGTCTCTAGTGCAGTTCTAGAAACTCCCTCCTTTTGCTTCTGGGAGGCTGCACTGTCTGGTTTATTTCCTCCTGTCTTTTTAGTTAGGGCCCTGTTTATCCTCCTGACTTTTTTAGTTAGGGCCCTGGTTTTTTTTCAGTTACAGCCCCTCCTCTCTTTTTAGTTAGGGCCCTGTTTTTCCTCCTGTCTTTTTTAGTTAGGGCCCTGTTTTTCTTTTTCTTTCTTTCTTTCTTTTTTTTTTTTTTTTGAGACGGAGTCTTGCTGTGGTGCCCAGGCTGGAGTGCAGTGGCATGATCTCAGCTCACTGCAACCTCCTCCTCCCAGGTACAAATGATTCTCCTGCCTCAGCCTCTCGAGTAGCTGTGACTACAGGCGTGTGCCACCACACCTGGCTAATGTTTGTGTTTTCAGTAGAGACAGGGTTTTACCACGTTGGCCAGGCTGGTCTCAAACTCCTGACCTCAAGTGATCTGCCCACCTTGGCCCCCCAAACTGCTGGGATTACAGTGTGAGCCACGATGCCCGGCCCAGGGCCCTGTTTTTTCTGCCTCAGTGTTCCCTAGGATTATGCCCACCTTCTTGTCTTGATATATGTATATAGGTTCATTCATTCATTCATTCATTCATTCATTCATCCATTCATATCTTCATTCATTTGAGAGATATTTAGCCTCTGAGCTGGGTGTTTGAGAATCAGCAAAAAACAAGACCTTCCCATTCCTCATGGGTCTTCCGGTAGATCATTATTTACACCAAAGATTAATTCTTGCTGTGAAGGAAACGATCGGGTTATGGGAGCGTGTGGGATTGGGTGGGAGTGGTGAGGTCTTATCTGGACAGATCAGGGAAGCCTCCCCTAAAAAGTGAGACCTGAAGAGGGAAAGGGAGGTGGCTGAGTGAGCAGGGAACGGAGGAGCTCCCCAGGCAGAGAGGCAGTCTGGGTAAGGCTTTAGTGTGGGGGAGTCCTTGAAGAACTGAAAGAAGTGAGGGAGGCTGGCCAGGGAGGGGGCATGGCAAGAGGAGGACCTGGGGGCCAGGCAGCATCTAGGTTATGTGGGCTCTTGAGTTTGGATTTTACGCTAGACCTCTGGGAACCATTGGAAGTTTTAAAGCAGGAGGGTGACTTGCCCAGATTTCATTATCAGAACCCTTGAAAGAGACAGATACAAGGACCATCCTGATAAGCCGTGAGGGTGCAATTTTTGGTTCTTCCACAGCAGGGTGTCCTGATGCTGTGCCTCAGTATGGGGCTTGTCACTGGGCAGTCCTGGGAAACGTGTACTTTCCCAGAATTCTTTCGGCTCTTTGCATTTTTTAGTTTACCCGGTCAGCCCTTGCTGAGCTGCTGCACTGGAGAGGGAGGTGAATCAGACACCACCTGGCCCTTGGATATCCACTCTAATCCAAGACGGAGACAGTGGCAGTTAACGCCCACAGTGCTCTGTGATAAGTGCCAAAGGGCTCAGGGAGCCAAAGAGTGCCTTTCCTACTTGAGAGTCAAACAAGGCTGAGAAGGGGGAGTTGGGCATTCCAGGCAGGAAGGCCTCATAAGGCGAAGGCTTGGCCGCTGGAGGAGCCTACTATGCCTGGGGGCTAGTGAGCAGGAGTGTGAGGGTTGAGGTGGGGAGCTGACCGGAAGACCTGGTCAGAGAGGTTTTAAATACTGGGTTTCTATCCTCTGGGTACCAGGGAATCATGGACAGGTCTTCAACTGAGGAGTGACTTGATCCATGGGATTTCAGAACAATCAGTCCATGGCAGGCAGAGTGGAGGGTGGATCAGAGGACGGCAGCGCTGGGAGCTGGTTGGAGAGAATGAGTACCATTGCTGAAGCCTTGTCACTCCCCCCACCGCACACACACAGCAACATCCTCAATGCCCCTTTCTGTTCCATGCCCCTGTTCTGTTATCCCCGCATTGGCCGGCCAGCCTGAGCTGTCCAGAGCCCTTTCACAGCAGCACTGGGGTGTGTTAAACCCTGGGCTCCAGAGGCAAACAGGTCTGGGCCTGAAACATCACTGTAGCCCTGACTTGCTCTGTGCCCTTGGACAAGTCCCTTACTCCTCTCAGCCTCAGTTTCCACATCTGTGAAATGGGGGTGATAATAGAGTTGGTGATGATTAAGCAATGGGGAAATCAAGTCCTTAGCACATGGCTGGTGTATAACGATGGCTGTGTTAGCTTTGTGTCCTTGTCGATTGTAATAGCTCAGTCCATGTTGTAATCTGCCCCTCAGGGAGTTCTTGTCTTTGGACGTAAATCTGAATTCTCAACTAGAAACAAGATGTCCCCAGCAGCCCCAAAGAAAGCCTCTAGTGGGACACTGAGGGGACTGGACATGCTGTTACACTCTAGGATCCGGCACAGGGCTGGGCACACAGAGGCCTGGACTGGGTTTTATTTGTCCCTATATCCCCAGCACTCAGCACAAGGCTGGCATAGGTTGGCCAGCTGGCTGGGTTCTCAAAAGTACTAAACAAAAAAATGAAATTAAAAAAAATTGTTGACCTTGGACATCATCCCCCAGCACCTTCATTTTACAGCTGAGTAATCTGGGGCCCAGAGAGGAACAGTGGCTCATCTGAGGCCACTCAGCCCCTCCGTGGCAGGCCCTGGACCTGTTCCTTTCTCCCTGCTCACATGTTTATTACAATTCTAATTTTTGAAATCCTGGTAAGTTAAAAATGGCATCGTGTCCCACCTCCCTAGTTTACATTTGGGGAAACTGAGGCCCAGAGAGTGGTAGTGGCTCCCTCAGGTCCTCAGAGAAGGAGAAGCAGGAAAAGGGCCTCCTCTCCACAAAGCATACCCCCACTAATCAGCAGTAAGCAGGCAGGTTCTTCCCCCAAAACCGACTACTTCGTGCTTAAGGAAGCAAAGCAGAGTGTGAACAATAGTTTCCTGAGGAAGTGTTGGGTTTTAATTGTGTTGAGGAGAAGAACCATTTCCGGAACTGTGCGTGCCCGTGATGCCTGTGGAGTTGGCTTGGCACAGCTATTTCCAGACTAATCCTGAGTCCTATTTATAGGCTGAGATGATTAGGTTGGCCTGTGTCAGGAGAAGCCCACATAGCTCCCCCCAGCCTAGTGATGGCCGAGGAAGAAGCCCTTGGGGGCAGTTCTGACCCGTGGGTGAGTAGCACGGGATCTGGGATGGTCCCCAAAGCCAGCTCAGAGGAGGGATGCCAGGGAGACCCAAGGGGAAGTCCCACTCCTGACTCTTAGTTCAACCACCAGCCAGGCCCTCTGCAGAGATGAAACCAGTTCCGATCCTATTCTCTCCCTGCTTAAAAATCCTCAGTGCCTCGGATCAGGCTAGGACTCCATAGCAGTCAGACCCCTTCTCCCCCAGGTATCCACTGTCTCAACCCCAGCCATGCCTCTTCAAACTGTTTATGCTTCCCTGTGCGGGCCACACCCCTGAGCCTTTGCTTCTGTTGTTCCTACCTCCCCAAAGAGGAAACTCCATTTGTCCTCCAAGGCTCTGCCCCAGTGCCCCTCCTCCGTGGCTCCCTCGGGCGTGGGTGCTCCCTCCTTTGTGCTTCCAGGGCCCACAGCTACTTGAATGACTATTGGTGTTCCTGTTTGTGTGCCCACTGGGTGAGGAAGTCCCAAGGCAGGGCCTGACACAGAGAAAGAAAGGAGACAGTTTGTGATTGAACAGCCACTGTGGCCATCATTCTCCTTACCTGTCTGATGAGAGCTGATCTTCATGCCACTGTGTGCAGTAGGTATTTTTTAAAGGTGTGTAGAAGTGAGAGTCAAACTTCGGACTTCAGAGTCAGACAGCCCTGGGTTCCTAATGGTGTAACCCTGGGCTGAACCTCTCTGAGCCTTTGTTCCTCCATCTATAAAAGGAATCAATGCCAGCCATGGGTTTTGGGGAGGATTCAACAAGACAATGCTTATAAAGTACTCATCATGTGGCCTCATCACAATGGGCATCTATTAGCATAGGAGGTGTTATTTGCAGGTGGGGACGTGCATTGTGGGGACATCCCTATCTAGGGCCCCACACAAGGGAGTGGCTGAGACTCCAAGTCTCCAAGTCTTGGAGCCTCCGACTCCACCCTGTGTTCTCCCTCCCCTCCCTCTCTTGGCCCCCTGGGCCTATTCTGTTCCCCAGATCAGGGAAAGCTTTGTTTGGCGATTGTTTTTCCTAAGAAGTTTCCTCTGTGGGGCCTCTGGGTGACTCAGAGCCCTGAGTCACTGGGAGGCTGAGGACGGGGGAGGAGTGGGAGGGAGGCGGAGGGAATGGAGAGAGGAGAAGAGGAAAGGGCTCTAATTCTAGCCCTGGCTCTCCCACCGTTTGATCAACTAGGTCTGACCAGGCCCGTCTCCTGGCTAACCTCAGTTTCCCCAAATGTGAAAGGAAGATGTGGGCCCAGTCCTGGCTGAGCCTCAGAATCACAGGTTCCCAGGCCCCACCCTAGACCTACAGACTCAGAGGCTGGGGGTGGGGCCTGTGAATCTATTGTTTCCTGAGCTCCCTGGGTTGATCCTGCTGCACACCTGGTCCACAGAGGTGTTAGGGAACCGCTGGGCTCAAACCTGCTCCCAGCTGGGCCTCAGAGCAGCTTGGCCTCTGGTTGAACTTCACTGACCCGCAGGGAGCGCCCTTCTCTTGCAGAATGCTTTCGCAGAATAGTGCACTGGAAGCGCGTGGGCTTTTTTTTTTCCTAAAGAAAAAAACAGCTTTATTGAAATATAATTTACATGATTTATTGGAGTAAATTTACATATAATTTACATACACATAATTCACTCAATTCAACAATGTTTAGTAAATTTATAGAGTTATGCAGCCATCATCACAATTCAGTTGAGAAGATTTTCATCATCCCCAAAAGGATCCCTCATGCTTGCTTACGTCCGTCTCTACGCACACCCCATAGCTGACCACGTATCTGCTGTCTCTTTGTTGTTTTATTGTTGTTGTTTCGTCGCCTAGGCTGGATTGCTAGGCTGGAGTGCAGTGGCGTGATCTCTGCTCACTGCAGCCTCAACTTCCTGGGCTCAAGTGATCCTCCCACCTCAGCCTCCTGAGTAGCTGGGACCACAGGCACACGCCATCACGCCTGGCTAATTTTTGTATTTTTTGTAGATGGGGACTTGTGGTGATGCCCAGGCTGATCTTGAACTCCTGAACTCAATGGATTCCCCCCGCCTCAGCCTCCCAAAGTGCTGGGATGTTAGGCGT